TGGTTTGGACATGTCCAGAGGAGGGACAATGGTTTGGACATGTCCAGAGAGGGGACAGTGGTTTGGACATGTCCAGAGGAGGGACAGTGGGTATATTGGTAGAAGGATGTTAGAAATGCAGCTGCAGGAAAAAGACAAAGAGGAGACATGTGGATGCAGTTAGAGAGGACATGGAGGTGGAGTGAGGACAGAGGACAGGGTGAGATGGAGGAGTCACTGTGGAGACCCTGAAGAGGGAAAAGACGAAATAAAATAATTTCCATTAATTTATTTTAAAAAGATTATGAATAACTGGTGCCACAGATCCAGTCGGGCTGGTTGTGAATCAAAGCGTTGCTGTGAGCTGTTGACCTCTTTGGATTCCATCTTTGCTCCTGCATGACGTCACAGATGGAGGCAGAGGCCAGGACAGGAAGTGGACCTCTAGATGTCTGACTAAGCTCTAACATGTGGACACACGGCACCCCCTGCTGCTGGATTGAAATAAAACGAGGACAAAAAGTTACAACTCAAAAAACAATATGATCAAAACTGAGTCTTTAGTAAAGCTCTAGTTTATAAACAATAAAATTAAAACCATCCATCCATTACCTTTAACCTGCTTCTTCCTTTTCAGGTCACAGGGGTCACTGGTGCCCATGTCCAGCTGTCACTGTGCGAGAGGCGGGGGACACCTGGACAGGTCTCAGTCCATCACAGGGACACATAGAGACAAACAAGACAAACACCATTCGCTCTCTCTGTCTCATCTAGGGACAATTTTAGAGTCACCATCAGCCTAACATGCATGTTTTTGGTCTGTGGGAGGAAACTGGAGTACCTGGAGAAAACCCACGCAGCACGGAGAGAACATGCAAACTCCACCCGGAAAGGCCCCTGGACAGAATTTAAACCAAGGTGACCTGCTCGCCGAGAGGCGACAGCTCTGCCAACTGCACCACCGTGCTGCCCCATCCCCGATAATCCGTGACCCGAGTTCGGAACAAGCGGATGATAATGGATGGAATAAAATTTAAACATTTTACTATTTAAACCTAAACCTTGAATCGCCACCTTATCGTGGTGGAGGAGTTTGTGTGCCTGAATGATGCTAGGAGCTGTGCTGTCGGGGGCGAAGGCCATTGGTAGGGTCTCCCAAGGCAGATTGGTCCTAGGTGACAGGTCAGACAGAGTGATTCCAAAAACTCAATGGACAAAAAAACCCTGGGGGAGGAGCTTGTCGGTGAGCACCTGGTGACCAGGTCTCTAAGCATGGGGCCCAGTTAGGTTCAGTAACATGGTTTTACCTTCCTGTGGGCCCACCACCTGCAGGAGGGGCTATATTCAAGGATTCAAGGTTCTTTATTTGTCATTCGCATCACATGTGGTACATGTGGTGGAACAAAGTTGTATACACAGGGTCCCAGCTACATCCAACAAAAGTATAAAAAGTAAAAGAAAAACAGTAACAAGATCTAAAATATGAACCAAGAAAAAACATCAACTAAAAATACACTAAGCACTAGTAGTACAAAAACAATATGCCGAACAACAGCAGCACGAACATGAGTCTGTGTGAGCAGATGAATACGAATGAACACAGCAACATGAAACAGATCAGCAGCAACATGAAACAGATCAGAAGCAACATGAAACAGATCAGCAGCAACATGATGCGATTTTTCAGTGATTATTCTGGTTAGAGATTCATGAGTAACAGCCTCAGGCAGAAGCTGTTCCTCAGTCTAGTGGTTCAACATGAATCCATAGGCAGTGGCCTTGGACCTCAGACCCTGGATTATCAAAACTGACACTTGGGACATGTAACGTGACCTCTCTGGCAGGGAAGGAGCCTGAACTTGTGCGTGAGGTTGAGAGGTACCAACTAGATCTAGTTGGGCTCACGTTGACGCACAGCATGGGCTCTGGAACCAATCCCCTTGAGAGGGGCTGGACCATATTCCACTCTGGAGTTGTCCACGGTGAGCGGCGACAAGCTGGTGTGGGTCTACTCTTAGACCCCCAACTTGGTGCCTGTGTGTTGTTTTCCCAGGTAGATGAGAGGGTGGCTTCCCTGCGCTTTTGGGTGGGAGAATGGGCGCTGACTATTGTTTGTGCCTACGTGCCCAAAATCAGTTCAGAGAATCCGGCCTTCTTGGAGTCCTTGGTGTGTGTGCTGGAAGGTGCACCAGCTGGGGACTCCTTTATTCTGCTGGGGGACTTCAATGCCCACGTGAGTAATGACAGTGTGACCTGGAGGGGCGTGATTGGGAGGAACGGCCTCTGATCTGAACTCAGGTAGTGTTCTGTTGTTGGACTTCTGTGCTAGTCATAGTTTGTCCATCATAAACACCATGTTCCAACATCAGAGTGTCCACAAGTGCACTTGGCACCAGGACGACCTAGTTTGTAGATTGATGATTGACTTTGTAGTCGTGTCATCTGATTTGTGGCCGTTTCTTTTGGACACTCGGGTGAAGAGAAGAACTGAGCTGTCAACTGAACACCACCTGGTAGTGAGTTGGATCAGATGGCGGGGGAAGACGCCGGACAGACCCAGTAGACCCAAACATGTAGTGAGGGTTTGCTGGGAACACCTGGCAGAAGAGCCCATCAGAAAGATCTTCAGCTCACACCTCCAGGAGAGCTTTAACCACATCCCAGCTGAGGCGGGAGACATTGAGTCCGAGTGCACCATGTTTCACGACCCAATTGATGAAGTGGGTGCCTTGAGCTGTGGCTGCAAGGTTGTCGGTGCTTCTCACAGTGGCCATTTTTGAACTTGGTGGTGGACATCCTGGGTTAGGGAGGCTGTCAGGATGAAGGAGTCCTATCAGTCCTTGTTGGCTGGTGGGACTCTGGAGGCAGCTGAGGAGTACCGGAGGGCCAAACGGCCTGCAGTCTTGGCTGTTGCTGAGGCAAAAACTCAGATGTGGGAGAAGTTCAGTGAGACCTTGGATGAAGACTCGCAGTCAAGTCCGAGGAGATTCTGGCAAACCATCAGGTGGCTGAGGAGGGGAAAGCAGCACTTTACTGACACTGTGTTTAGTGAAGGTGGGTTGCTGTTGACCTCAACCAGTGATATCGTCGGGAGGTGGAAGGAATACTTCTTGGACCTTCTCAATCCTACCGGCACGTCTTCTATGGAGGAAGCTAAGTCCAGGGACT